CAGTTAAATACAACATCCAAAGATCTCGTCACAAGGTTAGTAGCTACCCATTCACGACTTACTGTTCTCGTGAGCCAAAATGTTGTGGTTATTGACAAGCCTTGGACAGCTCATAGTTAGCAGTTTTGGCGGATGTGCCACAAACCAGTTTGATCTGTCTCCTGAGTAAAGCTAGGCCCACTGCTTATTTCCTCCGAAACTCTCTGTGGAGGATGCCAGGCGCATTCCTTTCCATAGTCGACAACTCTTGAAGAGCTCAGGGGAGAAGAAAATGAGTCAAGGACCTATTTATGGCCGTAGACTTATGCCAGAAAATATGTTGGTTAAGAAAAATCTCATTTTTGCATTGCTCTCTTTCAATGCTGACATTAATGTGAATAAAAGTCAACATCGATGTAAATTAGCTCAGCGATTTCAAAATGTCACCTTTACATATTTAGAATATTTATGACGAAAACAGACAGATTGGCACTAAAATGCTGAATCCGTTTTCTAAGAAGGGTGTCCTGCCCATTTCACAGCGGATCTTGGTGATTTCAATGGTAAGGTAAAGGGACCCCTGACCATTAAGTCCAGTTGTCGCTGACTCTGGGGTTGCGGCGCTCATCTCGCTTTATTGGCTGAGGGAGCCAGCGTACAGCTTCCGGGTCATGTGGCCAGCATGACTAAGCCGCTTCTGGCGAACCAGAGCAGTGCACGGAAACACCGTTTACCTTCCCGCCAGAGTGGTACCTATTTATCTACTTGCACTCTGACGTGCTTTCGAACTGCTAGGTTGGCAGGAGCTGGGACCGAGCAACGGGAGCTCACCCCGTCGCGGGGATTCGAACCGCCAACCTTCTGATTGGCAAGTCCTAGGCTCTGTGGTTTAATCTACAGCGCCACCCACGTCCCACGATTTCAATGGTACTTGGGGCCAAACTAAACACTATATGCAGGTGCACGTATACCATTACCCTCATGGCCATTTTGTAAACAGAAAATGCTGCTTCTAGTGTTGTGATCAGTATGAGAAAAGGATGGTACTTTAATCATTTCCCCATTTATCTTCCTGCCCCTAAATGTAGGACTGTGCATGAACCTCCTGATCTTCTATGTGGCCCCAATGTGTGGCCCCCAGATCAGGACAATTCACCCTATGCCAGTCCCTGCACCTCAGGTGCATCCCCAAAATAATTTAGGGGCAAGGCTAAGAGCAGGCAAAGGCAACCTCGGCCCTCCAGATGTTTTGAGACTACAGTTCCCATCATCCCTGACCACTGGTCCTGTTAGCTAGGGAGGATGGGAGTTGTAGGCCCAAAACATCTGGAAGGCCGATTTTGCACTGATTTTGCAGACAGGGAGACTTGGACCTACTTTCTCCCAGCCACCAGTCTGATAGGTCTCGGCCTTTTGTGCGTGCTGCCGGATTTTATCTGATGTTATTATTTGAGGGCAGAAAGGAACCAAATGGAGGAAACAGGAGAAAACAGAGAAGAGGGGGTATTAAATGTATCAATCTTCTTACATGCCCATCCAACCTTTCTCCCACCAATAAAAACTCAAAGTGCCACAGGTCCAAACACTGACCAGATTGAGACCTGCTTAGCTCTAGCAAGGTTCATGTTTCTTTGGGCATGTATTCCAAAATGGCAAGGGAAAATGTTCCAAAAAACGCTGGCCATTGTTGGTAACAAAGAGGGTCCTGGGTCTGTTTTAAGCCCAGTAAAACAGAGTAAGGGACGTGGGTGGCGCTGTGAGTTAAACCACATAGCCTAGGACTTGCCGATCAGAAGGTCAGCGGTTCGAATCCCCGCAATGGGGTGAGCTCCGGTTGCTCAGCCCCTGCTCCTGCCAACCTAGCAGTTCGAAAGCACGTCAAAGTGCAAGTAGATAAATAGGTACCGCTCCGGCAGGAAGGTAAACGGCGTTTCCGTGTGCTGCTCTGCTTCGCCAGAAGCGGCTTAGTCATGCTGGCCACATGACCCGGAAGCTGTACGCTGGCTCCCTCGGCCAATAAAGCGAGATGAGCGCTGCAACCCCAGAGTCGGTGACGACTGGACCTAATGGTCAGGGGTCCCTTTACCTTTAAGAACAATAAAATCCAGAAAACGTGCTGTAAGACAAACTCTCTATTACTAATAACTAGCAAGTCTCTTCTTGGCGTTTCAATGTCTGTTGTATTAGGCTTGGTCAGAAAAGGTAGCTCTGTGGCACATTATACTCTAAAACAAGGTGGTCTTGGATTCACATCTTGACTTTTCCCCACCCCAATTGGTTGCTGTAAGCAATGAACATGGGGAGCAGTTTCATCAAGAAATTTCTGCCAAGGAAAAGAGGTATGAAGGCAGGTGGAGTCCCAGCATGCTGGCGTATTTCTTGTTAACATTAGGAAGAGATGCTAAAGAAGCAAAATGTAGCTGGAAAATAGCATCGGTAAAATTTTAGATATGTTCATTATTTAATAAATACAGTACTCCTGTTCACAGATACCTTTTTTCTTGCTTACATTAAAAATAAATTCTGTAGCACATTAGTGATGGGTCATAGACAAAATGCAACGTCGTTTCCAAGTTCAAAGCTATTTTGTGTAAGATACACCATACTTTTTGCATGAGATAAAATTCTGTGTTTTTTTGATCACACCGTGGATTTATTGAGGTAAAGTCAGGCCAAAGTCACATTTTGGTCTGATATTTTGATTCAGAATGGCACCTGGTGTCCAAATAGTGATGAAGTCCACCACCCCCACCTCAGAAAGCCTTGTGCTGAGTATGTCAATTATATCTTGAGAAGCGGGCCAACCCTATGCCAAAAAATGGGCAAATTCACATTAAAGTGACATTTCAGTCAGCCATCTTGATTCAAAATGGAGGACAGGGTTGGTAACTGACCAGTAGGATTACTATAACGTGGGTTTATTCCTGAAGATGGTTTAGAAGCTACAGCTAGGGCAGAAAGCAGCAGCCAGGATGTCAGCTACTATGTTTAAAGAGGACCATGTAGCCTGTCTCTGTTTCTGAGCCCAATCCAAGACCCTAATGCTGACAAATAAAGGCCTACATGATTTTGGCCCAAAATTTCTGAAAGAACTCTCTATATGCCCATGTGTTAAGATAGTCAGAAGCCCTTTCTGAAGGTATGTGTTGTGGTGGCACAGAATAGAGTCTTCCCATCTCATTCCTCATCTCAGGAATGACATCTCCTCAGAGGTTCATCTGACACCCAAAAGTGATTGCTCACTTTTGGGGGGCTGGTTCAGACACATTTCTATGCCCTGGCTTTGAGTGGGGTTTAAGTTACTGTAGCAGTGTTTGTTGTAACCCACACTGAGGTCATCAGATGACGAGTGAGCTTATTTATTTACCATATTTCATGAATAAAGAAAAGTCTTAACTGGCCTTTATTTTTTATCTTTTTATCTATCTATCATCTATCTATCTATCTATCTATCTATCTATCTATCTATCTATTCCCCTTCATGGATCACTGCCTTGCCGTGGCGAAGGGGCTTGAATAACTCAGAGAAGCTAAGAACTATGCCGAGCAGGGCACCCGAGATGGACAGGTCATAGTGGAGAGTTTTGACCAAACGTGATCAAAATGGTGACAGCAACCATGAAATTAAAAGACGCCTTATTCTTGGGAGAAAAGCAATGACAAACCTAGACAGCATCTTAAAAGGCAGAGACATCACCTTGCCAACAAAGGTCCATATAGTTAAAGCTGTGGTTTTCCTAGTAGTGAAGTATGGAAGTGAGAGCTGGACCAGAAAGAAGGCTGATCGCCGAAGAATTGATGCTTTTGAATTATGGTGCTGGAGGAGACTCTTGAGAGTCCCATGGACTGCAAGAAGATCAAACCGATCCATTCTTAAGGAAATCAGCCCTGAGTGCTCACTGGAAGGACAGATCCTGAAGCTGAGGCTCCAATACTTTGGCCACCTCATGAGAAGAGAAGACTCCCTGGAAAAGACCCTGATGTTGGGAAAGATGGAGGGCACAAGGAGAAGGGGATGACAGAGGACGAGATGGTTGGGCAGTGTTCTCGAAGCTACAAACATGAGTCTGACCAAACTGCGGGAGGCAGTGGAAGACAGGAGTGCCTGGCGTGCTCTGGTCCATGGGGTCACGAAGAGTCGGTCATGACTAAACGACTAAACAACAACAACAAATCTATATATTATAATAGTAAAATTTGGAGGTGTTATGCATGCTTCTAGATCCAGCGCAGTCACTGGAATCCCCAGTGATGTCACTGGTGAGGAGCACCGGCCACAAGCTATGGTGTACCTGGGCAGACGTTGCTTCATCTGAAATATCAACTCTCACTGCCACCAACTCCAAAGCGGTTTTCTGTACATGTTTGCATGAGTAATTTGAACATTCCTTTATTGTGGGGAAGGGGGAAGAAAGGAACATTCCACTGTGATTCATAGGCAACCTGGCTGCAGGTGCAGAGAAATGAACTTCAGAATCTCAAACTGGAGAACATTAATAACACATACGTGCAGTGTGTGTGTGTGTGTGTGTGTGTGTGTGTGTGTGCCCAATGAAATAGTTTCCTCTTAAGAAGGAAAGTCTCCTGGGAATATCCCTTCCCATACACTTTTATTTATGCAAAATTCCTCAGGGGCTTATGAGTATTTGTTCCTAAGTTAAGAGCACAAAATACAGTTTTACGTGAGCCAAAATATAACAGAGTAGGGGGGTGGTTAAGGAGATCCCACTACGTGATTATCCTTTAGACTCTCCTGGAAAAGGAACATAAGAAATTTCTTGGCCATAAATCTCTGTCATATGGCTTGTGCCCAGACATTGCACATATCCTTGAAAAGCATAAGACTGAGTTGGGGGGAACTGGGCAACTTTTAAAAGGAATAAGTGTTTCTGATCCGCAAACTGACATTACAGAAGCAAATAAAATAAGTGAAATGAAATAAGCAATATATGTGCAACCCAGTCTTATGGGCAAGGTGTTACTACTACTACTTTTTGCTCACCTTGTATAAGATAAACACAGTACCTCTCAAATGTATCATTGTTTTCTTCATTAAAGCCTTTTTCAACAGTCAATATTTATTGTTCTAGCAAACTTGATCCATTTCGTAATACTGAGCTTCTAGAAAGCCGCTGTTTGGGTCCCAGGTATGTTTGGTTTCTTCAAACATTAACACACTGCTGAGAAATGAACCAGAAATTATGCTTACCACGACTCTAGGGAGCATGTATATGAAGTGAGGCTGTCCATGAAATTGGCATATTCAAAATAGAAAGATAGTAATACTGCCAAAAATAACATTCAACACTTAACACATCTGCGGGCATTAGTCTCTGGGAAGGACACTAATAATCACATTGTCAACATAGATACCAACTGAATAAGTCATTAATGATTTGGTGCACAGCTTCCCAATAAATGTATAGAATGTAAAAAGCAAAACATCATTGAAGCACTAGGATTCTTCTGGTACATTATGTTCCTTCCCCCTTACCAAGGTATTTGCAAATGAACACCACTGTGCTGGGATACAAGGATCCAAATCTCTCCTCTGATAGAATCTTAAGTCTTTCACATGCAAAGCAGTGATCAGTGCTCTGCAAGAAGAAATGTGTCACAACCTTTGGTGCTTTTAAGTTGCATAACATCACAAGTTTTCCATGCTGATCATAGGAGCCAATTCCTAGCAGCCGAGGTCCCTTCGACCCTCCCCAGTGTTGATGGGCATTCAAACAGTGTGGGCGCACCACATCATGTGACCGATTATGTTCCTTTTTTTATAATAATTTCTATTTATTTTAAAACATATTGTTTAACAAACATTCCACCAAATTTCACCTCGTATACAATCTTTTTGGACTTCCATCAGCGCCTCTGTAGATCTTCCATATTTATAATATCTTCTGCATTTCTTAAATTCATATTGCCTTTAATTATCACAACTAATATTATCCTTTTTGTTCAATAGTGCAGTAATACAAATTATTCCCCTCACAAAACTTCCCGCAAACCTACAAATGTAATCTGGTCATCACAATTACTTTTCATATGTCCATAAATTTACGCCAATCTTCCGTGAATCTCTGGTCCCGCCGGTTTCGAATTCTTCCCGTTAGTTTATTTAATTCTGCGTAGTCCATCAGTTTCATCCTCCAAGACCAATTATGTTCCTCAACCCCCAATATTTTATTTAAGTTGGCACCCTTGATGCTGATGTTTCAGCACAAAAGGCTTTTGAACCCTTCCCACATATCTGGGTGCTTCAAGACTTTCATGTACTTTGTGTTCATGAGAGATACTTTCTGTCCCTCTGGCCCTGTTCTACCAAGAACTGGCTTGGGGGAAATGCATCTGTCATGGAGTTTCCACTTGAACCGCTACTGAAAGGTAAGTGGGGGCACTGAAAGGTTCTCCTAAAGCCCATTTACACACTCGACTCCCTCAGCTTAAAGTGGGTCCAAAGCTCTCCTTCTGTGGCAGGGAAAGCTATTTATATGTTTTTGAAAGTTTAAACGCGCTCTGAAGTTGGATTAGCAATGGCAGATCCCTCACTAAACTATAGGCATCTAAACTAAGGATAGACAGCTGTTCTTGGCTGGGAATCCAGCTCTGAAATACACTTGATGTACATACATGGCTTCTTGGCTACCTCGTGGATGCCCATCTGTTACGCTGGCACTGTGCTTGCTTAGGCGCTGGTCAGTCCTTTGCCCTTGGGTAATGCACAAAGCATTCACTGTTGCCTAAGGCCAAGCAGTGTCACATGGCAGGAGATGTCTACTTGAAGAAGTCTTCACATCTTTTCTTGGTGAATATGGCGAAAGCGATGCCTTCTTGCATTCCAGCCACACCTGCTCATGACAAATCACCAAAATATAGGAGCAAACAAACAATAGAAGCTGTGGAATCCATGGAAACTCATGGCTGTCAACAATCGAACAGGTTCTGTTACACTGCATTCTTGAAATACATATGATTACCAATGGCGATATTAACATTAAAGGGCCCGCCCTCGGTCAGGCACCGGGACCAGCAGGACAAATCAAATTTCAAAGGAGTGAATGCAGCTGACACTCAAGATATCACTTGTAGAGGCGGCTCAAGAAGAGAAGGAGGGAACCTATACCTAACAGCCCCTTTTGCATAGCAGAAAAAAATGGCTTTAGATTATCTAGGGAGAGATAAAAGAGAGCGAGCAGAATTAGTGCACCTTTAAAGGGAAAGAAGTGTTAGATATGAATCTATTTTCATCATTTAGGACCTGATCCAAAGCCCAACAAAGCTAACATATTTACTGGGCTTTGAAGAAAATGACAACCTTGTATGCCCTCTTAAAATAGATACAGAGTGCTTAACGAAGACACTAACGGCAACCTCATGAGCTCTATAAACAGAGAGATGTAAAACAGGGTAGCTTTGTGTTTGGTGGCATTGTGGTGCACTATTGCACACCTGAGGGATGCGGGTGGTGCTGTGGGATAAACCACAGAGCCTGGGGCTTGCCGATCAGAAGGTCGGTGGTTCGAATCCCCGCGATGGGGTGAGCTCCCATTGCTCGGTCCCTGCTCCTGCCGACCTAGCAGTTTGAAAGCACGTCAGGTACAAGTAGATAAATAGGTACCACTCTGGCGGGAAGGTAAACTGCATTTCCGTGCACTGCTCTGGTTCACCAGAAGGGGCTTAGTCATGCTGGCCACATGACCCGGAAGCTGTATGCTGGCTTCCTCGCCAATAGAGCGAGATGAGTGTCGCAACCCCAGAGTCGGTCACGACTGGACCTAATGGTCAGGGGTCCCTTTACCTTTACCTTTATTGCACACCAGCTGGATAGACATAGTCTTTCCTGCTGCATGCCGTGCCTTATTTTCTATCTGTTGCATTTAGGGATGGAGGAGGAAATTGTTAGCATGCCTTTCATAATGGGAGAACTGAACCTGGTGTTCCTGAACTTGCTTGCAGGTCAGGACACAATACCCCATCAGACTATGTACTGTTATGCATTTTGTTATCACAGAGTTGGAAGGAATCCTGAGGGTCATCTAGTCCAATGCAGGAATCTCAACTAAAGCATCCATGACAGATGGCTACCCAACCTTGTTTAGAAACCTGCAAGGAAGGAGAGTCCACCCCCCACCCCCCAAGAGAGTCCATTCCACTGTCAAACTGCTCTTACAGTCAGGAAGTTATTCATGTTGTTTAGTCAGAATCTCCTTTCTTGTAACTTGAAGCCATTGGTTTGAGTCCTACCTTCTAGAGCAGGAAAAAAGATGCTTGCTCCATCTTCCACGTGACAGCCCTTTAGATATTAGAAGATGGAAATAATATCTCCTCATTTCCAGGCCAAATACCCAGCTCCTTCAACCATACCTCATAAGGCTTGGTTTCCAGCCCTTTGATCATCTTGGTTGCCCTCATTCCAGCATTCCACATTCCAGGTTGTCAATATTCTTCTTAAATTGTGGCGCCCAGAACTGGATACAATATTCCAGGTGTGGTCTGACCAAGGCAGAATTGTGTGGTACTATTACTTCCCTTGGTCTGGACACCATGCTCTTGGTCAGGTGGCTTCCACCACTCCTCCTCATCCAGCCAGTCTCTGACATTTGTGAAAGAGCCAAACTGTATGTAAGAAAGCTCTGAACATGCATTTGAGGACCCTTGAATAGGGAGGGAAGCGTCAATGCGAGCATTTGCCCAGACATAGCGACTTCATGCAAGTGGAGTGTTTTGCTTACATACTGCATTCAGCTCACATGAAGCATGGTCTCAACAACTCAGTCTCAACAACTGATCCACTGGGTAAGAGCTGTGTAGCTCATCTGGGCTGACGCTCCACCAAGTCTGTGGAGATTATGTTCTTGCTCATAGTTTACTGCCAGCTCGCTCCTGACAACTAGACTGAATTTTGAGCTGAACCATCAGGGTTTTGAAGGCTCCAGCAATGAATATCGAGATGAAGGTCTCTTGTATCGAGCGGAACACACGTTTGCTACTGCCGCTGTTCCTTACCTTGGTTTCTTTTTCAGTATTGATAAAGGAGCTTGATCAGTTGTGCCTTGGCAGACTTTGGCCCCTGCTCTAATCCAATAGGAATTCATATATGGACAAGCAGTTGTTGTTTGCGTTCCCCTGGGAGGAAAAGTTGAACCCAGTAGCAAGAACTGTATGCACCTAGCTTTCAATACAGGGCCAGCCCTCCCATGAGGCAGGCTGAGGCAGCTGCCTTGGGTGGCGGAATGAGAGGGGGCAGAGGAGCAGTAGGGGCTTCTCTGCGCGCTGCCTCTGCCACTGGCAGTGGCTTCCAGCGAGATCTCATTAAATCTCAGCAAAATCTCACTAGAGCTCATCAGAACCTCCTATCACCACCACTGCTTTGCAGGCACTGCCACGTGACCCAGGTATGGGAGGCTTCCTCAGGCAGCAAAATGGGACACCCTGCCCCCCCCCATTTCAACAACAGAGCTCAGCATCTGTTTAGGGAGATGTAGCAGAGCCTCTCTGATTATCAGGGCTGTTGGAGACAATAGCTGAAATGGGAAAGCTCAATATTTAAATAAAGGTAAAGGTAAAGGGACCCCTGACAATTAAGTCCAGTCTTGAACGACTCTGGAGTTGTGGCGCTCATCTCACTTTAAAGGCCGAGGGACCCGGCATCTGTCCGCTTCCAGTTTTTCCGGGTCATGTGGCCAGCATGACGAAGCCGCTTCTGGCAGTGCACGGAAACACCATTTACCTTCCCACCGGTATGCATAAATAAACAATGTCTGTGTAAACTTCAGTACAAGCATTTATTCAACAGTTTGAAGCTACTAATAGTCCTGGCTGTACTATTGGTGTTTCTTCCAACCTGAGCAGCCCAATCCTTTGCATTTTTACTCAAGAGTTTGCTCAATAAGGCTTGATCTCAAAAACATGGGGGCCAGAACTCAGCAGCAGAGGATGCTTGGGGTGTAGCAAATCCCAGGTTCAACCCTTCAGCTTCATAGTTAAAAGCATCTCAGCCAGCATTAGAGATCTTGGAGTCTCACTTCTCACCAAGCGGCCTAGATCAATCAGTGGTCCGACTTGGTAGTAGGCAGAGTCTAATGGACACAAAGCTGGAGGCAGACAGAGCATTCAATAGTCACATTTTCACGGGGTGGAGACCTGCTCATAGTGATGTCTGCATTAATGCCCACTGCATTCAATCCAGCCCCAGCTTGGAAGCGGTACAACAAAAAGTGGTGGAAAGCAATCCTTTCCTTCCCCACTGGACTCAAAAAAGGAGGGGAATTACTTATGCCCGGTCTTGTCCTGGTGTAGATTTCCTGTATTTGTGGGGATGTTTGAGAAATGGGGGAGATGGGATTCAACCGTTTCTGCGCACAATTTAACGTGTTGTTGCTGACCTTCAAAGCTCTAAACAACCTCAGTCCTGTACACGTGAAGGAGTGTCTCCACCCCCATCGTTCAGCCTGGATGCTGAGGTCCAGCTCTGAGGGCCTTCTGGCAGTTCCCTCATTGCGAGAAGTGAGGTTACAGGGAACCAGGCAGAGGGCCTTCTCCATAGTGGTACCCACCCTGTAGAATGCCGTGTCAGATGACAAGGAAATGAACAACTGACATTTAGAAGACATCTGAAGGCAGCCCTGTATAGGGAAGTTTTTAATGTTTGAAGTTTTACTGTGTTTAATGAGCGTGGGTGGCGCTTTGGGTTAAACCACAGAGCCTAGGGCTTGCCGATCAGAAGGTCAGCAGTTCAAATCCACACGACAGGGTGAGCTCCCGTTGCTCGGTCCCTGCTCCTGCCAACCTAGCAATTCGAAAGCATATCAAAGTGCAAGTAAATAAATAGGTACCGCTCCGGCGGGAAGGTAAACGGCATTTCCGTGTGCTGCTCTGGTTCGCCAGAAGTGGCTTAGTCATGCTGGCCACATGACCCGGAAGCTGTACGCCAGCTCCCTCGGCCAATAAAGCGAGATGAGCGCCGCAACCCCAGAGTCGGCCACGACTGGACCTAATGGTCAGGGGTCCCTTTACCTTTAAGCTGCCCAGAGTGGTTGGGGAAACCCAGTCAGGTGGGTGGCTTCTGATGATGCTCCGCCTCCCCCAGGCTACCCATGCCCCATCCAGAATTCTACCCAGTTTAGGGGTGGAACTGTGGGCAGATCTCTGCTAAAGGAGCATCTTAGCTGACAGAGCCTTTACACAGAGAATGGTGGCATCTCTGATCTTTTCAGAGATGGTGGATTTGAATTCTGGTGACATCAAGTCTTTCATCTCAACCCAATGCCCATCCGTCAATTGCCTAGTGAGTGTAGAACCATTAACTATTTATTCAGCAGTTAACTATTCAAATACACGCTCTTCTGAGCAAGAAAACAACTGGTGTACAAAATGTGGCCAATGGAATATGATAATCAGAACATGCTAAGCAGGCAGTGTTACAAAGGTACTGCTCTTTAGCATGGAAACGAGCCAGAGGTAATAAAACCACCATAAAAATGTCAATATGACATATGGCAAAGCATTGGCTTTTTATGGCTACAACTTGTAATGAACTGGAAAACAACCCGAGCTGCCATTTTTACTTACGACTCTTGTTAAGTGGATCTTCAGCTTGCTTTAATATGAAAGCATTTGATGGAAATGTGATTAATGTGACAAAAGCCACATGGGAAGGTATATGCCTGTCTGTAGATCAACCCCCAATTAAAATAAAACTGAACTAAAAAGCGTTATGATGGCGGAAGTAATGTATGAATTTATCAAAGTGTGTTGTAACATTTCAGCATAGCTTTTGAACTGAATGGCTGAAAGCGAGTGTCACCCAAGTCTTTCCTGAAGTGATTATTTAATACTCTCCAGTTCTGAAGTTTAAAGCGCCAGAGGA